GAGGGGGGGGAAGAATCAGAAATTGCAGCGTATCTCAACTTATTATTGATTTGAGATAGCTTTTAAAAATTGGATAAAATTACTACAAATGCTCTGTCATAAAAAATACAGGCGATAAGATCGCGTATCCCTTCGTATGATCCATAAAATTTTAACTAGCAAAGTGCTTTATTGTCAATATCCTCATGTGAAATTGAAAAACAAGACAAAATAATCAATATTTATTTAATCAGCAAATACGCGAGTAAAATCACGTCTATGATAATTAGTCCTTATTGGCCAACTAATTTAATCATAGGTCATCTACGCCTTTATAAATTCATTTGCAACCGAATATGCCCGCAAAAGCAAGTTTTTTCATAATATAACAATTTTAAATATTTATTAATATTTAAATGAGTCAGAAAACTAATATGCGCATTCATACAGACGATACCAATGATTCAGAATAACTGTGTGAGTCGAAAAGGTCAATTGACGCTATTTTCGTGCCAAAAAGGAGAATATTCTATTGATGGTGAAAGAGCCTATTAGGAAGCCTCATTTGATTTATTCACCTTGGCACGTCAAATGCCAACACAACGAGTTTGATAACTAATGCGTAATTATGGTAGCCAATGGTGTAATTAGTTCCAACTTATGAATTGGATCTTTTGCTTGAAACCAGTGGTCATCTCCTTGCTAGCTTTCCATCTGAAGAAGCTGTCCTTGGCTCCTCCCACCCCCCACTCTCTCCCCTCTCCCTTGCCCTGTTAGTTAACGCCCATCACTGTAAGCTATTTTAAGTTACATTAAACTTCTTTTTGGACCACAATATGGACTGCCTTAGCACAATCCCACTTTGCTATAGCACATTGCAACACACTTAAATAGTCACCTTCATTTATGCCCATTTAAATGGATCTGGAATGGGATTTTACCATTTAGTTGTCTCATTCTGGAATTTGGAAACGTAATTTATTTGACAAGCCAACCCTGTTTACGTGATCGGCCTTAAGAACTAATTTTTCCCCTTAAAAAAACCGTAAATTAGCTACTAACTTTGTGTAACAGTCAATAGATGGCGGAAAATTTGGTTGCATAAATTAATTTTACGGCTGTTAACTCTAAAAGTGATATTTTAGCCTAGTTTGACATAGAGTGGGGGGAGAAAGTAATAAGACAGTTAATTTAAATTTATCATTTCTTTTTCAGTCTCAAGTTTAAATCTAAGTCCACTTTGAAATATCAAACTGGATTTCAAGTTGAGGTACAAGAAGAGGTGACCAAAAGTGCTACAGAATCCCCTGATGCCGTAAGCATGAGGAAATCTCCAAACCTCCTCACATCAGACGATTCACGACACCCTTCCACAGGATCCTACTCAGTCGTGGTTGGAAATAAGAACATAACCAACGAACAAATTCACCCTAAGCTGAAGTCTTGCGGGACTAAGTCAAATGAAAAATACTCATCCGAAACTTTGAATGCAACCCAGTAAGTTATTCACTTTTGTTCAAACTCCCTCTAATGGTCTGGTTGAAATGTGTCCACTTCTGCACATGTAATCACAGCGTTTAGAGACTTAATAAAAAAAATAGGTCATTGTAAGACGGTTGGATAAATTATTATATAAACTTAATATATTTTGCTGTAATTTTCTCTGAAAATCAGCTTGCTGCCCCACGCGAAATTATGCAAACAAACACATTACATTTAAATTTAGAAATTTTGATTAGCTTGATATCAATATTTAAATTGTGAAGTTGACAAAAGAATAAAAAATGTGACTTGAAGCTGAGTGGAAACCTTAGAGTCCTCGCGTTGTTATTGAATCTATTTATTTATTTATTTCAAATGGCAGGCGTTATGGTAGCTATCATTAGCCATTTAGCTGACTTCAGGCTTCACAGAGGGAAGGTTCATCAAAGTAGAAGAAAGTAGAGGGGTGGGGTATAGAAGAGCGATTCACAGATGTAAAAGAGGCAGACAGACACAAAGGTAGGGAAAAAGGTAAGATGTGTACTGTGAAAGGGGTCGAATATGGCAAGCAGTCGGGCCATGGTAGTTTGAAGTGAGAAGTCAACTGTCCGTTAATAGACTTTTTTGCCGTATAAGTATACGTTGCCCAGGGTGGAGGTAAGTCTATTGTACACCCCATTATTGAATCCATAGAGTCTTTGAATAGTAAGAACAAAAAAAGCTAGCAATAGAAAGCGAAGATTAGAGCTTTCGAACAATGGTTGCGACTGAAGGTCATTTTATTGTTCTACACTAATTGCGCTAATTTTGTCGTCTTTGTGATTTTGCTTCTTACATCACGAGTCACTGATTTAAACATTCAGTATAAAAATTTGTGCCCAGATAGAGGGAATCCTTGTACTAATATAACATTTTGCTTGTCCATTCTTATATTTAAATGTTCAGCGATGCAGATCAACCTCGTAGATCTGTTTCCTAGTTTAANCCCAGTCTGTCTATAACTGGCAGGAGGGAAGTCGAATTTTTTTGTTTGTGCTATTAGCAATCCTCGCTGTCAATTTTTGTCACTTTTGCGAATTTGTTTATTAGAGGATTAAATAAAGCTAATTTATACAGTTGATTCTTTATTTTGCACTACTACTACTACCACTGTAAGCATCTGGGCCGCATGAGGTTCCTTGTTATGGCTCGCTACGTAAACATAGGAACATTTCATCTGCTTCATATTGGAATTTGATAATTGTCTAAGGAACGTAGAAGATAACCTTTCAAACGCACTACTTATAAAGCGTTCACTTTGCATAAAGGCTACTGTGTCACTTAGATGTTATCTGTAAACTCTAATGTATTTTCTATGCATTATGTGCCCTGAGATTTTTTAAGCGAATTGCAACTTAGTATTATTTTAATTAGGTGGGGAAAAATGCACGAAAGAATAGAGCTGTCATTTAATTTCATGTACTTTCTTCTGCAATCGGATTACTATCTGGAACGTCCTTGTAAAATACAGTACTATGAGCATTCAAGTGAACTCCAACCTTCGCTATTGAAAAAGAATGTGTTTATTACTCTTTTCACCCGCTTTTCTGTAATGTTCTCAGAAAATTTAGAATTTTAAGGGCAAAGTAGCTACAATCGATCTTCGTTACAAGACTAAACTGATTTAATGCACCCTCCGCCTCGTCGCAGTAGATATTTATTTATATCAAATGGCAGGTGTATGAGTATACGTTGTCCAGGGGTGCTCCACGTGGAGGTAAGTCCGTCGCACACCCCGTCTCAGTAGATATAACTCATGATAGTTTTGTTCCACTTTCTCAAATCACATCTTTACTACTTCCTTTTATTTAACTTGTCTATATATTAATATCTTTCAATGCTGTTACGAAAAGAAATGAAAGTTTGTCAATTGTATGCCTAATGAAGCATAGGCCCCATCATTTATTTATTTCAAATGGCATGCGTTTTGATAGATATCATTAGCCATTTAGCTGACTTCGAGCTTCACAGAGGGAAGGTTTATTAAAGTAGCAAAAAGTCAAGGGGTGGGGAACAGAAGAGCGATTTACAGATGTAAAAGAGGCAGACAGACACAAAGGTAGGGAAAAAGGTAAGATGTGTACTGTGAAAGGGGTCGAATATGGCAAGCAGTCGGGCCATGGTAGTTTGAAGTGAGAAGTCAACTGTCCGTTAATAGACTTTTTTGCCGTATAAGTATACGTTGCCCAGGGTGGAGGTAAGTCTATTGTACACCCCATTATTGAATCCATAGAGTCTTTGAATAGTAAGAACAAAAAAAGCTAGCAATAGAAAGCGAAGATTAGAGCTTTCGAACAATGGTTGCGACTGAAGGTCATTTTATTGTTCTACACTAATTGCGCTAATTTTGTCGTCTTTGTGATTTTGCTTCTTACATCACGAGTCACTGATTTAAACATTCAGTATAAAAATTTGTGCCCAGATAGAGGGAATCCTTGTACTAATATAACATTTTGCTTGTCCATTCTTATATTTAAATGTTCAGCGATGCAGATCAACCTCGTAGATCTGTTTCCTAGTTTAAACTTTAAGTTGCCATTGGTCAGGCTAACTCGAGGGAGTAGAAATAGTTGAATGGCTGACTATTCCATCCTACTACATCGGTACATTTTGATAGTAAACTACGGAAACGATAAAATGATCAGTAGAAACGCTTAGTGAAGCCCGGCTAGGTTATTCTTTGCGCAATCGCTCTTGAAGTCCAAAAGAAGGCCTTATTTCCCTTCAATATCGACTGAAACAAATTTGAGCGGTAAATATAGACACGTGGAAATGAGAGAAGTCAAATTGGATTAGTGGGATTAGTGGATTAGTAGTGAAAACTAGTTTGTCACACATGGACCACACTTGCTAACACTTGTGAGGACTCATCATCTGAGGGTTAGGAAAGACGGATGTCAAATTGTTCATAGGATAAAAATTTTGAGACATTGCAAACAAAAGCTACTCATTTGGGGCTGGTTAAAATTAGCGCTACAAATAAAGCCGATTTGTTCCCCCACCCCCCCCCCACTCCCCTCCTCCATTTGGATTCGCTGCAGAAAGTGTTTTTTTTTCTCAAAACGCTTGAACCTTTCAAATTGAGCGGGAGAAAACTCCTTTCGATAATTTCCTAAATTTAAAACAAAATGCATTTTGGCTTGATTTACGCCATTTATTGCACATTTTGCCCGCTAGATTAGACAAGAAACAGCTGAAAATATTTTGTGATGCATTTGTTTTTATACAGCATAATTTGCTTGTATTAGTAGTAGAATTTGTGTTGATCTTGGTATTTATGCAATTTTCACATTTAAAAATTTGAACTAAATATGGACAGAAGTTGTATCGTTGTTAATACATTTAACGAAATTTATAAGTGACCTTCAGTTTATTAAAATTTTAAATAGTTCTTGATTTCTACGTGGATTACACTATTTTATGGAATTAAAAATGAGGAGAAAGAAAGTGTATGCTTTTCACGATAAACATATTTCTGATGACTAATTAATATTAATAAATAAAATAGCTAATCATTCTGTGAATGCAGTGGTATAGAGCCAAAATCGATTGATTAAGCGTATTTCATATCAATATGGAGATTTTAATAATTAATTGATCCAGTTTTGACCCTGTATGTTTGCCAGTGATCGGTTCTTTTGAACGGAAACGTATACACCACTTTGATAGGTGGGTTCTGTCTGTTTCATTTTTTTGCTTAGTCTACATATTCAAAGATACATGTCGTACCAAATAGTTTGATTTCGCGTTTTCGAACATTTTGACCCGATACACTTATTTTAAATGGCAGGCGTTTTGATAGATATCATCAACCATTTAGCTGACTTTGGGCTTCACAGAGGGAGAGTTCATCAAAGTAGCAGAAAGTCGAGGGGGAGGGAACAGAAGAGCGATTCACAGATGCAAAAGAGGCAGACAGACATAAAGGTAGAATAAAGGTGAGTACTGTGAAATTATTCGAATATGACAACCAGGGGGGTCATGGTAGTTTGAAGTGAGAAGTCAACTACCCATTAATAAACTTTTTTGCCGTATGAGTATACGTTCCCCAGGGTGCACCACGTGGAGGTAAGTCTATCGCACACCCCTTTGTCCCGATATAAAAAGGTGGATTTTCGTGATCACAACTTCGCCTTAATAACAATTACGATTTGAGATATATGAAAGCCTTCTTGGCACTTT